ATATATATATGAGAGAGAGAGAGAGAGCTCTGTTTTCCAGCCTGACTCTATTTAATTTATTGTTTTGGTTGTGTGTGATTTAATTAATTTATTATAATTTAATTATTTTGTTTTATTTATTAATTTATATATTTTAATATTATTTCACATTTCATTTGCAATGTTGAATGTTCAATAAAATGTTATGTTTCGAAAGGATGTACTTGAATTATTATTATATATTATCATTATGTCTAAAATGGTCTTAAAGCGGTGCCGACAATATTATCGTTTATCGCAATAATTTCCAGAAAAATGTATCGTCCAACACAATTAATTATCGTGACAGGCCTACCCTGAAGACATGTCCCCTACTGTTACTGTTGTTGTACTTCTCTTTCTACAGGTTCATTCTGGAGAGGAGAGCTTTGATAAGTTCAGAAAACCTATTGGAATGTTTTGTTTTTTGAGAAACTACATTTCTCCAAAACAGCAACAGTAAAGTATTTCATAAGTAACATGATCATAGTTAGGGCTGTACAATTCATTACAAATGATACAAAATATAGATTAGTGCAATGATCAAACCGCAGTAGGAATATTATTTGTTAGGCTTAATAAATAAAAGCCTACAAATGTCAGATGTAAGAGATCCAGTGGTGAGTCTACCTGCAGGCTGTGTGGCAGCGTGATGAAGTGAGCTCTGAGGTGCTGACTCAGCCCTGTGGCCTCCTCCTGAGCTTTGGGGTTCTCGGCCCAGGACAGGGTGAGGGGGGAGGTGAAGAGGAGGCGCGTCTTCAGGCTCCAGTCTGTGGGAAACACTGTGCACACGGGGGGGGCGATGGAGGCAGGAGCAATGGCCTGGGGGCTCTGGGGAGAGACATTGAAGAGCTTTTTAAACACATGTGGCTCATGGTTAGAACCTACCAACAGATGTTTTGTATAGATATGATTAGTCAGAGTGCAAGAGAAGAATCCAACCTTTATTAGTGGGCTCGCGACATCTTCCTCCTCTTCTTCGAACAAGGAGTCATCTTCAGAGAAAGATAGACATTTCTACAGCAGAGGACGGAAGGGTAAACATATCAAAATGTCAGCATGTCACCGCAAAAACAAATGTACTGTATACTGGAGTCAGATGAACATTAACTAAAGGTCTCTGGTGCCTAAACACTATGTTTGTCTTTCAGAAAAGTATGCATAAATAAAAGTAATCAATTGCAACATTTCCTTACAAGTTTATTTAACAGGGATCACATAATAAATAAAAATGTTACCTGATAATTAAACACAGATAGACCTATAGCTAAAAGCGAGTTGCCCCAATGCCCCACATGATGCATTTGATATTTACAGATCAGTTATGTTACTAACTGTCCATGTCTATTTAATGACAATGGTTGTTGTACTCATGGTTATTGTTTTGTTTAGGGTAACTCGCTCTGTAAAGCACTTATAACGGTTTTGTTTGTTCATGTTAAATCTGCAGCCTTCCACTCAACAATATATTATACTGCTGTTTTTCATAATATTGTCTTTTTCTTTATATAATCGTTACATTTTTCTTTTTATAATTGTTATATTTTTGATCTTCTCTTACAACTTATTACCTTATGCTATGTTTATGTTTGCACCAAACTCCAAAGCAAATTCCTTTTATGTGTAATTAACCTTAATTCTGGTTCTGATTCTTATTATCACGAGGTTAAGGCTAATATACGGCACCTTGTTCTTCAAAACAGCTGTGCAGCTAGTAGTGGGGTTTTGCAAGTTAAAATACTAGTAGTAATAGTAGGTGTATAACTGACCTTGCTGTTAACATCTTGGTGTTCGTGTTTCTCTGCCTCAGTCAGCCTCGCACTGAGAGGTAACGCTGCATTACAGTCCGTCTTTGTTGACATCTGCTCCTCTCCCTCCTTTTCTGTCAATTTATTTTTCTTGCACCGGTCCACAGCTTCTGCATGTCCGTCCTCGTCGTAAATTAGACATTTCTTGCTTGGACTGTACGTATTCTCAATGTTTGCGAACGGGTTTCTGCGCTTTATTCCACATCCGGGACGACTCTGGGTGTTAAAAAGCGGCCCCGGGGAGAAAGGCCGAACTCCTGCCGGCGAAGAGTCGCTTTGCCCGGCAGTGGAGCCCCGTCCGCTCGGGCTGGAGAACACACTGGCGTCGCTTCTGGTTCTTTTCCTCCTCATTCGCATAATTTCAGCCGGTCGCTTGAAGCTCGGCGAATAGCCCTCCGGTTGAGACATACTGCAGAGGAATAATTTCTCTAAAATACCAGAAATTAACCGACAAAATGCTAAAAACACTGCAGCTGTTGACACTAACGTTTTGTTGTTGCGCCTTCCGCACTATACAAATTTGGCGCGTAGCGTGCTGACGTCAAGCGTCACGTTGCGTTTGTTTTAGAGAGAAAAAAAATGGAATTTGGGGCAGGCCTACTGATCTAAGAAGGAAAATCTACCACTTTAAAGTTTAGGAATCAAACTCTATTAGAGTGTTTCAATAAATGGCATCTTTAATACACCTATAACAATGATCCCATGTTGAAGTTGCTGTACCATGATAACACACAGAATAATGAGCTGAAAATATGCCAGCATAAATACTATATAAGCTACAACTTCCTTAAACAACACTAATATGTATCTTCATATTGAAGTGTATGCCCTTTTGGTCTTAAGTGTACGGTTTGTAGGTAATTTAACTTGTGGAGCAGCTGCAACAGCAAAGCGTTGTGATTCAGTGTGCGTCATCATGACAAAATGTGCATTGATGACCACAGAGGACAGTGAATTTCCCTGCTAGAGCTGCCCCCCCTGCCCAACACCTCTCATTGCAATCTCCACCTCTGTCCCTCTGTCACAGTGATTAATAGGACATTATGTAAATGTTTTCTCCCTGTTAATTTCTCCCTCGTTTGTCATTACTCTGGGTCATCAATCACATCGGAACTTCAGCAAGGCTAAATGATGGCTGCTGTTAGGAAATCAATTCTCATATATTTTGGTAGTGAAGAAGAGAGAAAAGTTGTGCTATTTGCATCAAAAGTCAGGTTTGAATTGATGGCTAGTGACCTTAACAGGGCTGCTGAAATCATGGCATGTCCTCGACCCCCAGATGAAGATGCATTAGGCCCAGTGAACTCCATCTATAAGAAAACATTCTTATTGTAGTCGAAAAATTAACCTCTTTATACCCAATTGGGAGATAATGTGCCATTAAACCACTAAAACTCACTGTTTACCGAAGCTAAACAAGTATCCAAGCAGGAAAATATTCCATATTTGAAAATTGTCTAACTGCCCTGCGAGTATATTGTGCTTCTCTTGTTTGTTATTAATCTTAAAATAGGGACATTTTGTGTCAAATGTGTGATTTGTATCCAGTTGAAGTAATGCTATTTGTACCTTTAGGGTCTATGTCGATGTAAAAGTACACTTGACCTTTATTTAGCAACTTGTGTGTGTGTGTGTGTGTGTGTGTGTGTGTGTGTGTGTGTGTGTGTGTGTGTGTGTATAAACTGGCAGAGAAGGCAAGCTAGGGCTTGTCTGTTGGCCTGTAAATTCCTACAGCTTTAGGAATAGCAATGGATAGATGTGTTTGTGTGTGTGGGTTACATAGGGTAAGGATCAGACAACCAGCAAACACAGAAAAAAAAGTTTGATTATTTCCCAAGAACTTTTATATAAAACACAAATCAAAAATGTACTATCAACATGTCAGAACAAAAAGAGAAGGGGTGATGAAAACAGGATCAAATGCCGGTGTCATTTTCAGCCATGGTTATATACAGTACAAATCGACAGTGGATCACTCACACACGCATGCACGCACACATACACACACAACATGCTACCAAAATGGAATAAATTAATGCATTTTACAGAACTCCATGCTGTAATGTTCTCTCAAAATATGTAGAAATCAGTGTGGTAAGGCCTGTCCATGATAAATATGTAATCAGTCAATTAAGATTTGTTGCAGTTTTTATATTTTCTGTCCAAATTTGTCTCAAGGGCCGGAATAACACCAATAGTCTTCATATTTTATTGATGACAATAATGGGCAGTTTTTTGAAAAATGTCAGAAGAATGAGAGAGGAGGTACAATCATGGGAAGAAACAATGACAAACATAAACAGGCAATCGTATTATTTGGCATGAGCAAATCATCTCTAATGAACACCATTTATGAGAAAGTCGCTTTTTTTACAAAGGAAGCTGCGTTCATCTGTCCATATCCACTACATTTTCTCAAGTCCTTTTCAATGTTATTTCACTGCTGTTTAAACTGGGTGCTCTTATCCCCCTCCTGGGTAAGTCATGACGAACCGTGCTCTGTGAAGTCTTTCCAAATATTTAATGTCACGAAAAAATCCAGTGCTTGAATATAAATAAAATAGTAAGCAGGTTTTAAAATTGTAGTTTACCCAAGGAAAGGTGACCCTCAACATTGTACCCTGTGTGGCAACATTTCCTCTAACCTGACTGATGAAACTCCACTCACAGTAGAGGTGTGTAAAATCAGTAAGGTCTAGGATGAAATCTGGGAACAACATAGATAGCAGAGGGATGGTAAAGTCAGAAAGCATCCAGAGAGAGAGACACACATGGTTGGTTTGGCGCTCTTCATGCGTAAAAAATATAAAATACCATCGGACTTCCTCATCCTTTAACCGAGATAAGATTGTTGGAGCGAGTTATCTGTTTTTTGACACGTTTTTACATTGAATTGTGCCTCGTGTCACATCATATTTTGTGTTGGTGGGTATATTCAGTGAAGTCACATGACCAGGGAGCACCTTAAGCCTGCTTCAGTACGGTCTCCAGACGGACTCTGCAGCGGCCATGTTTGTGGGGGAGCTACTGTGGCTGGACTCCACCTCCACCCCCACTCCTTCATTCTGATTGGGCAAAGAGGGGTGCAGGAGGGAGGAGCCTGTGGAGGCGTTGGTGCACGGCGGCAGGATCCTGGGCGGGGAGCGAGAGTCGGTGCCTCCCCCACCGCCGGCCATCATTGAGAACTGGTATGATCCGGCGGTGGTGGAATAGTACAGGTGATACGGTGAGGAGGTGGACTGGAAGGGCCCGTTCTGACCCTGGTGGGGGGTGTTCGCCGGGTAGGGGGGAGGCAGGTAGGTGTGGTACCTCCCCGCTGGAGTGTTCGCCATGGCCGTCGCCATGGATAGGCCGAGGGTGCCATTGGATACGGCGTTGTGAGAGGGGGCGTAGCTGAAGGCGGTGGCTGTAGAGGGGTAGTGGACCCGGGGATCCGAGAAGCGGGAGTCAGGTAAGGAGGGGAGGGAGGTGAAAGGTCGTTCCAAGGTCATCCTGTGGTCGCCAAAGGCTGTGAGGTCAGGACCTGAGAGAGCAAAGGTGAAAGGTTACTTATACAGTCTATTCTCTCTGTTTTCCCAAAGTCAAGTATGCATCCTGGGAAAGAAGTGGCCTTCCAAGTACACAGGCTAGGTTACAAGTGTTCAGAGGACGCACAATATAATTTTACCAGATAGAGTCCCAGGGTGCAGGAGAAATAGATTTTAGTATGTTTTTAACTGCTATTTAGGATATTAATTTTGCGTTCCTCTAAACAATATGAACAGACTGATCAGTGTAAATGCTCGTGTGTCTTACCTGTGAGACGCGAGGACAGGTCACTGAGCGTAGATCGACCAGGCGAAAGGGGATTGGCTGTGTGGACGGTGGGCGTGGTTATCTGGCCAAGGTAGGGATACGATTGGTCGTAGGACCAAGATGGAGACGACTGCATCTGCCTGGAGTCTGAGAGAGAGAGATAAAATCATGGAGAAACTTAGAGATGTCTTTACATGATTGAAATGTGGTTGCACAATGCTGCTCACACAAGACAAGTAAGAATACAGTTAAATAGCATTATCTTTGAAGAAAGGGTGATTTTAAATGACTTGAGCCAGAGGCTGATGATAGTGAAAGAAACAGAGGAGAGAGACGGAGAAGAGGAAGCAGTTAACTCAGTCTGGGGGTCGACGGATGAAAGGAAGGGCTGTGTGTGTGTGTGTGTGTGTGTGTGTGTGTGTGTGTGTGTGTGTGTGTGTGTGTGTGTGTGTGTGTGTGTGTGTGTGTGTGTGAGATATTTCATTCAATCCCCTCTTTTTCCACACAGTCTAATAAATAGCACTGATCACCCACAGACTTTCAGACAAGAGTGTGTACATGTGTGTGTTTGTGCGTGCATGTGCAGTCAGACGAGGAAGCAAATTGTACACAGCAGCCAAGACGTCAATGAAGGCTTTTCAAGTCTAGCCAAGAGTGTGTGTGTGTGTGTGTGTGTGTGTGTGTGTGTGTGTGTGTGTGTGTGTGTGTGTGTGTGTGTGTGTGTGTGTGTGTGTGTGTGTGTGTGTGTGTGTGTGTGTGTGTGTGTGTGTGTGTGTGTGTGGTCTGGGTGGTGATGAAGGCCGGCCCTGTGCCAAGCCCCCTCCTCTCCAGGCTTCTCTCCCGGGGCACAGAGCACTAATATGAGGCAGGAGTCACCCCGGCTGGCTGCTAAGAAGTAGAAGTAGAACACAAAGAACTACATACTGTATCTGTGGCATTTAACGGTAGGCTAATTCATGTCAGAAAATTATGAAAATTATGACACTTACCCATTTTGCCATGTGCAGTTAGTGCTAGTGAAATTCTAATATGATGAGCAGATATGATAATTCCTATGATGGTTAATAATATTCCACCAAAAAGTGGATGTCTGTAGCTTGTGCTGTTTTGTGCCAATTGGGCATAACATAGGAAACGAGAACGGTGAGCCCTTGACCTGCCCACTTGTGTGTTGATTGATTAGCAGCTGACCCAGGTAATTGTGATGGTGATCTCTTGCTTTTATACACTGCCATTGGATAAAAGGCAAGTTTAGAATGGCAGCTGTCAATCCAATGCTGGACATTGGCATAATGTACGCGGCGTGGGACACCTGTTCACCCCGAGAGAGATCGTTTTGGACATTTTAATATGAAACAAAGGCTATCATGTTGTATTTAAGTTTGATTAAAAGGTGAAGTTCAGAAGACGAGTATAAATAAAGAAAAAGCAGTGTTTTTTTTTGTCTATCTTGCATTTACTAATTACTATAATTATTTGTTTATGGTCGTCTAAGGCCTGACTTTTTATATTTTGGATGGTAAAATGAATCATAGCCAATGGTTGACACACTTTTCAGATATCTTGGATGCTTCAAATTCTGACAGTTATAGATTTGATTTTTTTTCTCACAGTAGCACTTCCTCCCAGCTGACTCTCATTTCCTCCTTCAGGCATGACTTGCTTCCTCACCCACACACATACACACGCACACACGTGGCGTCACTACCACTAAGGCAAAAGAGGAACAGATAATGCATTTTGGTGGTAGTGTATCCACGGCAACCGCAACACACACTCACACACACACACACCTACACGCGCACACAGACCACAATGGATCTCGCTAAAACCACAATGAGGAACAATGAGGTTTGATGCAACCTGAATTCACAAGTTTGGGAAATACACACACACGCTTTTTGACGTTGATTAAATGCTGGAAACGAGTCCGTTTGATTCCGCTCTAAATGTAATTAGATTTAAAGATGATAAGTTAGGTTTATGCTAATAACATAGCTGCTTGACTGAGCATTGATGAGTGTGGATGCATGGAGGCAGCTACCGGCCATTAAAGAAACTGCAGTTTAAGGCAAATCCCTGGCTTTCAGGTTATCAGAAAGTAGGGTTAGGGTTGGGGGCAACCTGATAAGGTCATACATTCTGACTATTATGAGAATCATTATTATGATGCTTATATCATGCAACTAGATCATTTCCAAAAAGGTCCCTTGCACAGCTGTGCAAGTGTTGCTTCCAGAAAAAGATGAACTAAGTGATGGCTCATCACACAGGGTTTCTGAGGAATCATAAATAAATAACTTACTTCTCTCTGCATCTATTTATGTTAAAGTTTTTTTGGGGGAAATTTCTTTCGGTGCTACTATCTATCAAAACAGTGACCATTCAAGTTTCTACAAAACTAAGCTACAGTGAATTAGTTTCCATGAAAATAAATCTCTGATCTATCTGTGAATTCCCTGTCTTTTAAAAGAAGATGTATTATAGTCTAAATTATAGCCTGATGAACCAGTCATACTTTATATCCGGGGTCTAAGACAACAACGTATTTAGATGAGTTGGTTTAGCAACTCTAGCTTAGCTCAGTTTGAATTGATAAGAAAAGTTGTTTGGTGGTTGTGTTTTTTAGTTATAGTACTTTTCCTGAAGTCAATTCATCCCTGAAAGCCTAATTCTTGCTGTGTACAATATGGTAAATGACAATTCCCTTAATTTCTTGATTTGGGCTCATGGATTGAATCCCTTTAGATCTCTTACCAGCAGTAATCTGAGCGTGTGCAGGGCTGGAGAAGTGGCTGGCAGAGTTGAGTGCTGCAGACTGGCGGCTGTTGGCGGGGTGTTGATGGTGATGGTGGTGAGGAGGCGTCAACCTCATGGAGCTCCGTCTCAGCTGCTCCAGCTCTGTGAGCCTCTCGGAGAAAGCCAGCGTTCCGGGTTTAACTTCATCCATCTTCTGACGATGACCTGGGAGGAAGAGATGACACAAATCTGTCAAGATAACCGGTGGTCAAATTAAAAAAAGGGAGTCCAAAGCATCAACTTTTTCCAGTTTCATTGAAAGTAATCAGCTACCACAATTGAAAGTGTATGGCAGTGTCTTGAGAACTAAGTAAAAGTAGTGGCCAGTACTTTGAGAGGTGCCAGTTCACCTTCTAGGCACTGGCCTTGAGCTATAATACCTGCACACAATAATAGGATGGCTTCAATGCAGAGGCTCAATTTCACTGTGTGCGTGGTGCTGGGTGACGATTGAACATGGATTTGTTTTCAGTCCTCATTTTCCGTTCCATCAAAATATGAATAGGTGATTTGTCAGCAGATGACTTCCTGCTTGTGTTATGATTACATAATATAAGGATTACTGTAACAGCTACAACCCAAAGCAGGCTGCAACAATGTCCCAACATTGTTAACACACTGTCTGCTAATGCTTTCGGAAATCTGACGATGGGCGCCGCATAGGGGTCTGACTGTCTCTGTGTGTGTGTGTGTGTGTGTGTGTGTGTGTGTGTGTGTGTGTGTGTGTGTGTGTGTGTGTGTGTGTGTGTGTGTGTGTGTGTGGTGGTCTGTCACGCTGTCTGTGGTGTTGGCTGCACTTCAAAGCAGTGAGACTGAGATCCAGTTACAGGCACTTCCTCCCAATGGGGGAAGTGTGCATGTGTGTGTATTTATACTGAGTGTGTGTGTGTGTGGCGAGTTAGAGACGAGTGATGGTTATTCACAGCTGAGCGGAGCTGGCAGGAGTCTTCCTCTCTTTCTGTCACCTCATGTCTTATCTGAACACCGTCGCTCAATTCACTCCTAATCAAAGCAAACTATAAGTATTTGTGTTTATTATAAAAAAAAAATAGGTTTTTCTTCTTCTCTGCCTTGAGAATTCCCCATGTGTCATCACAAAGGAACTCAGTGTTGCATTATCCTTATTGACTCACAAACCAAGAGTCTGTCTCTATGGATTACAGTCTTCTCTGAGTATCTAGCTTATAGACTACAGGATATGCATGAATCAAAATGTAAAACGTTCAGGGGACTCAAATGTGAAGCCTGTGGGACTCCACATGTTATAAACTGCTGTGGAGAACATAGTGATGTGTCACTCACGTCTTGGCTCTCGGGGGCCGTCCACTGTAATCTTAATGGCTCTCTGGTACGTGGCCACCTGAGGAGGGTTGGTGAACACGGTGATGGTAAGAGTGAAACTCTTCCCTATGAGAGAAAAAGGAGAGGCAAAGGGGAAGAAGACAAGAGAGAGTATAGATGAGAGGAAGAAAGAGGAAGAAAAACAGGGAAGGAAATAAGTGTTTATTAGTACTAGTATACGTGTCCTCCTAATGTTCTCTCTCCTGTACACATTTATGGGACTACACATTTAGTGTGTGTTTGTGTGGACCCTGATGGGGGGGGGGGTTCATTGCCAGACACAGCTTTGGAAGACACTCACTCAACACTTTTGCGACCAAGCACGCACGCACGCACGCACGCACGCACGCACGCACGCACGCACGCACGCACGCACGCACGCACGCACACACACACACACACACCTCCGCTATTGTTTTATGCCAGGGCCGAAGTAAAGTTGCCACATGCAGACAATGATGCCACACACACACACACCATACTTTTGTTGGTAACGCCAGGTGTTACTCTCACTTCTCTGTCTCCCTAGGTATCAAATAACAACAAAAGTTAAGGAATATGAATATAACATAACATTAGGGTTGTTATAAATGAACACATCTGTTTTCTTTACTTGCATAACAGCCATTTTTTTTACATTTTCGATAAGGACCATCGTGTTGTAAATACAAAAGAATGCAGCTGTGCCAACTTTCCACACTTGTAAAGTCCCTTCACGAATATTATGAAAAATGTCACAGTGTTATAGTGACTGATAGACGTTCAAACTCATAGATCAAATACTCAAACTCATTAGTATATGTAGCAAGACGCCCAAACCAATGCTGCCCTTTTTGTTGTCTGACTGAATGCTCAGATGGCTTCCTGTCCTTAGTGCAGGTTGCTTACAGAGAGAGTTTACAGTAAGAGAAGGTGGCTGATAGAGACACAGGAGGAGGGAGAGAGCAGCTGAAGTCTGTGTGTGTTATGTCTATCAGCCAGCCGGTGGAAACACACACACACACACACACACACACACACACACACACACACACACACACACACACACACACACACACACACACACACACACACACACACACAGTAAGGGAGCACGACATAAGCCCAGCGGATAAACAGGAAAAGGCCAGTGTGTGTGTGTGTGTTCTTAAACCAGGTGCCTGTGAATACAAAGATATTAATGGTTTGACTTTTTAATCCATTTCTAGTTCAGTTTTAGGAAGTTATCAGATTCTGTTTGCTAGTTTCATATTTTAATACATTTATTTTGTGCACCTATTGTGTGAACAGTTCCCTGTATAGTATAGGTTTTTATAGTATGTTTTCTGGTTGTGTGTGTGCATCATAACAATCGTCCATTATCAGTAAGAGGCAGTGACATCCGCTCATGACGCATAATGCACCAAACACACACACACACATGCATGTGCGAACACTAATGCATAAAACTCAATAAATCAATCAGCTGTGTGTTCTGCGGCTAAAAGCTGCTTTTCCACAAATGCATTTTGTCTCAAAGTGCAGATAAGCTGTGTGATAAACACACACACACACACACACACACACACACACACACACACACACACACACACACACACACACACACACACACACACACACACACACACACACACACACACACAAGGGAATACACAGCTATGATATATCCAATTAGTGTGTGTGTGTGTGTGTGTGTGTGTGTGTGTGTGTGTGTGTGTGTGTGTNTTTGTGTGAGCGGTTGTGTGTTACAAGTGTTGGTCAGTGGTTAGCCTTGCAGTTGGGTTTTGTTACAGGGAAAAACATTGACAGTTTTTCTTGCGCTTTTACAATAAACTTAATATGTTAGCATTGTTGGTTTTAAAAATGGCGTCGCCAATCTCTATTTTCAGCCGCCCTCTTTGCTTCGCTACAGTTCCCCGCTGATTTTAACCTCTCCCGAAGTTTCGAGAAACCGCCAACAGCGAACAGCCATCGCACGATCGATGGAGCCTCTGATCATCCACAGCTTTTCCAATGTTTCCTCCAAACCGCACTGCTTCGCCCTCAGCCTTAATGGGCGAGATGGCGGGTGCGTGTCTGTAATGTCTGGTGGGACCGGGTCCTGTGTGAGTCGAGGCGAGGTCCCTTCAGTCCTGTGGTTAACGAAGAAGCCATGCAAAGAGTCTCCTCGCCCTTTTCTCACTCCTCCTCACCCCCTTTCTTCCTTCCATCCCCATTTGTCGCCACATTGTGGTTAACAAGTGAATGCAAAGTGTTGTCGTTATGTGTGTGTATGTGTGGCTCGTACCCATTAGCGCCCTTCTATTCTCTATTCTAAATTCCGCCCAACGACTACGCCTTCTGATTTATTCATTGGCTCGTTTGGGACTCCTGTGTGTCCCCTTGTGGTCGGCTGCAGTGAGTCTGATTGGCTGCTTCCTTCCACTTTGGTGATCTATTTCTGTTTTCCAGAACCTTCGAGCTAACTTGGCATGCAAATGTGCACTCACATAAACACACACACACAACCTACAAAAAGCATAACGTAGCCAAAGCCTGAGGGGTGTGAATGGCTGATTAGTTGATTGTAAGTCTGCTTCTCTAACTGTCACAAATGATCTCGGCCATGGAAACACTCATTGATTTTTTTGGGCTGTCTTTTTTTGACTGGCATATTGAAGTGTATGTAGCTACAGTGTGTGGCTTTTAATAATGAACATTGTCTTGATAAACCTGAGCCAGAGACACACCGTTAAAGTCAAAGTAAGAATGTTCCTAAACAAAGACCAACATATCTATTAAGTTATTCCCTTTAGCATTAGCCCTTTGTTTAGTGATAGCTAGTGTTTAGCTAAGATGGTTAACATGGTAAATATGCTTATTATAACCATTGACAGTAAGCATTTAGCTCAAAGCACCACTGTCCAAGTAGCTGCTAGCTTGGCTGAAACCTAAGCCTTTTGGAAAGTTAAACAGCTGTGTGTGATAAAACAAAATGGAGCTTTAGGCCTCCCGCACTGGATGGATGAACTGTTCTGACACATAAGATAAACCTTTGTTCATCTCTGTAGGGTAATTCCTCACATGTGCTACAGTTTTAGTTTCTCTTAGGCCCATCTGTTTCTGTTGGCTTTTGAACGTCACAGATATTATAAGTCACACTTTATTTACTGTCTGTGTCAATGCTCCAGGAGAGTTTTGGACATTTGTATCAGCCCACACAACCTGCATCAGTGTGAGGCGGGCGTCATTCAGCTCTTCAGGAATGGACACTGATGGAACCTCCTCACAGTAAAGCTTCCTGATCAGTCGTGAGGTCCATATTCACTGTCCAGCCCCAAGTGTGTGCATGTATGTTAGTGTGTGTGTGTGTGTGCGTGTGTGTGTGCTTGCCTGTCTGTGAGTTAAAAGTTTCTGCTCTAATACACCTGCTCAGCCATTCAAACTGCACTAAACACAGCCTGAGGCACTTCTGTCTTCCTCTCTCCATCTCTTTCTATCATGCTGTCTCCCTGCCTCAGAAACACTGTCTCACTCTGCTCTGTCTATTTCCATTTCGACATTTCTACGATGAAAGAATGAACATTTAACTAACTTTGACTGTGTGCATGATTGAATAGGTATCCCCCCCCCCTCTCTGTCTCTTTCTTTCTCTTTCCCTCTGTTTCTACCTTTCTCTCTTCCTCTCTCCCTCTGTCTGTCTCTCCTGCATTTCTTGTGTCAGAAAATCAATTTTTTGTTTAGCAAGAATAAGCCCATCTTCTCTCATCGTAGAGGCCGGTTGAATAATTCAATACACACACATGCACACATTTTTTTTCACTTCAGGGAATTTTCACTTAGAAAATGTTTAAGACATTATTGGATCTCATAGGTCTACCAACAATTATACCTCTTTCCCAGTGTAATCTTTTCTTGAAGAGGCTCAGTAACAGCTGGCCAAGTTAGTAATAAATGTGTTTATGTATTCTTGACTATTGCTGGACCTTTGTAGTGTACAAAAAAGCATTTAAGAAAAGAGTATATACCACTGCTCTTGATTCAAGGACTTTTAATGGTTTATCAACTATGGAAGCATAGTTTGCAGTAAAGACTGTCACTGATTGGTCAAACCTGTTTTTACAGATGGTCCATACTTCCTCGAAATGTAGAAAAGTGACGCAAAAATGTCCTGAATGCAGGCGCTGCCATTTTGCACTTTAGACATGATTTTGAGCTGGAATCTGCACAGAAGTCCTCGGGTCCCACCCAATCGAGCCAATGACACTCAATTTGTATCCATCCTGTTCCCTACGCCTCTTCGTAAGTTATCCATGGATGACCTTTGCTGACCACCACCCTTTTCACCTGTTCCTCCATCCTGCAGAAACACTGAGAGCTTTACAACAGCTCCCCTTCGTGGTTAATGACGTAAAGCAATGCCCCTCTGTGCCATAAAGTAATCCAGTCACTAAGCGGCACCATGCAGTAAACGGTGCAAGTGTGCAAAAGTTAAGTAGGTGTATGGCAGAGACATAATATACTATAGTTTTTGCAAATGAGGCACATTAATGCTACATGCTTTATTTTTGTGAGTGTGTGTTTGGGGATTATATTTATCTTACAAACAGGATGATTGAAGCAATGTGTGTGAGAGTCCCCTGTGAATAACCTACCTTTTGCGAGCACACGTGTGTGTGTGTGTGTGTGTGTGTGTGTGTGTGTGTGTGTGTGTGTGTGTGTGTGTGTGTGTGTGTGTGTGTGTGTGTGTGTGTGTGTGTGTGTGTGTGTGTCATTTGGTGCTGCTGCTAACTGATATGTCAGAAAATCAATTAATTACTTTTAAGCGGCAGTTAACTGCATCCGCACAATACACCCCATGAATTATAGACGAAGTGTGTGTGTGTGTGTGTGTGTGTGTGTGATAGAATTGGCTGCTCTGTTAACTAGAGACAATTGCGAACTCCTCCGTCACTGATCAATTGATGAGAGTGCTGTGATACAAATCAACTGAGCACACTGAAGTGACTGAATTGACTCTATATCTATCGCTCTCTATCCTTTTGACTGTGTGTGTGTCACCATGTTCATCTTACTTGAAAACAACAGGACTGCAACGTTTAACATTCATGGTTATTTTACATTTAGCGTTTGGATCTTCATCTGTGTGTGTGTGTTGATCTTGCTGTAGTGAGAATGCCTGGGTATTTTGATAAATGGCATTATTAATACCTAAGTGGAATCATTTTATAAAGTGGTATAAATAATTGTTGTTAAAAGTCAAAAAGTCTCTCTCTCTCTTTCTTTCTCCCTCTCCCTCTCCCTCTCTCTCTCTCTGCCAGCGGCTGTCTGTCCCTCTCGTCCCCTGAGTTGGGGCCACCCTGAGGCCAGTGACAGTGGCATGGCAATGATCAATACCACACACACACACACACACAGACACCCGCATGCTGCCACCCTTGGCGAGGGATCGATGGAGTGATAGATTTTTACTTCTGCTTTTATCTCTGGTACCTCATCAGCACCTTAACACCTTCAACATCCTGTTTTTCAAGAATATATGAACATCATAATTTATCTCTATCTTTTATTTGTATTAACTATTATTTAGAAAGTTAAAACTACAAGGTTACTGAGCTGAATTTGATGATCAAATCAGATTTAAAAAATCCCTAAATGTCTTGCTTTGGTGGAAAGCCTGTTTCAAAAACGTATAAAGAAATGATTTGTAAATGTACAATACATTTCAAATGGACATGATGCAATTAAAGTCAACAATATAGGTTTAATTAGTATAAAATTATTCTAAGTTCAAATTAGTTAATCACTTAATAGCGATATTGTTGTAGTAAAACCAGTATTAACAAATCACCATTGTTACACACACACAAACACACAGTCACACTGTTGGTCTGAGTTTGCTGAGTTGTCATATGTCACACACACAGATTCTTTCTCTGAAGACACAGAGGCAGTTTTGTGGTGATGTCGGCAGCCAAAGAGCCGCTGAGAGTTCTGTGTGTGTGTGTGTGTGTGTGTGTGTGTGTGTGTGTGTGTGTGTGTGTGTGTGTGTGTGTGTGTGTGTGTGTGTGTGTGTGTGTGTGTGTGTGTGTGTGTGTATAAACAGGAAAAGTGATTAAGTAAATCTCTTCCTATGACCTACTGCATGCTATAGTCTGCTGTAGAAAATGAATATTATTCAACTTGTAGAGAGCTGTACTCAGCAACATTTATAAAGAAGTTGGAAGTGGCTCATGAGAACCACACAACCCTCTACTTTAAACTCTAATTTGAGTTATTTTGTTAGTTTTTAGCTTTGTTAGCTTGTAGGTAGCATATAAACAAACCAAATGAGCAACATGCTAATCAAAATGTACTCATATCCAAATGTTAAAACCAAAAGGATATTGAATATAGCCAAAACAGCCACTATCTATCTTTCTTTCTCTTTCTGCCTGGCTGTCTGGCTAAACAAACTATGATCGTTAGCCCCTTACATATTATGTAGTGTTCTCAACAAAAAATGGCTACCTTTCAAAAGCTAAAACTATGTATATTAATCCCATTTATTGAACACAGTTTTTAAAAGAACAAACAAATAACTCAACAAATGGGCAATGTGCAGGTTCAGTACTCGTCAAACAAACTCATATCACTCAAGTGTGTGTGACCTCAATTTTCACCCAGAACTTCCGAATAGCAAGGAAGAAGGAGGGGGACGGAGGAAAGGAGGGAGGGAGGGAGGAAAACAGGAGAAAATCATTTGAGTAGCTAAATGAAATTAGCAGCTTTAAAGAGCCCGAGGGCAAAGTGGAGTCGTGTCCCCCGTGGCTACGCTTTAGAGAAGGAGGGAATGAATTCAGCTTGACTGGCTCCTCTCTTCCTTCTCCTCTCTCCCTCGCTTTAACGCCCTTATTTTTTTTCTATTTTTACTAATATGTAGGGTGAGATGGAAGGGGGGGAGAAGGGGGGTGATGTGATGAATGAGGCGTATAAAAGCCGTTTGGGAAGGTGAGGATAGAGCTCTTTTTTCGCCGTCAGTCTTTAAAGTGTTCTAGTTGACTTCCAAAGTTGGACTTACCCAAAGTAGAAACAAATAGTTTGTTCCTTCTCTTTGCCTTTTTTTCTTTTTCTACAAATTCCCTCTTCCTGTTCTTACCTCTTCGTCTTATTATTTTTTCCCTTGATACCCTCTTTTCTCTTCCCTCTGGGTGTTGGAAATTTGGCCCCAGCTGTTGCTGCTTCTGCACCCAGGATTGAGGCATGAACCCTGGGGCATTCTCCAGCTCAGGCCCCCTGTCCTGGGCCATGTACCTGATGAGGAAAGGCCGGACAGGCAGCGGACTCTTTGGTAAAGCTAACTCTTCTTGACACCTCATATTCACCAAAATCAATATCTGGCTTATTCAAGTTCTCTGTTTTACTCTGTCCAACTCAATGTTGCTTATTTCATGTTATGTTGTAGAAGAGCTGCCTTCACATTATTCTGGCCACAATTATCCTGTTCATGTTCTGTCATTGTTCTGAGTAGCGTGTCACACTACAATCCTCAAGACATTTGATATGCACTTCTTTTCTTGGAATATTTTACTTTAGTTTTCCAGCACGAACAGCTGATAGTTTCGAAGAACTTCGACTGATGGAGACAGTGCAATGCTACACGGTGAACTGAACTTAGGACGGTTGTAGTCATCTTTCCTCTCTGTACTTTTCCATAGTACTTACCACATTCCTTGGATTTGTAAGACTTGTCTTGGTGATAGTATATTTCCTATCCGTGCTAGAATCATCCCAAGCTCCAGGAGACTTCTTCTGGAGTTTTAAGCATTATTCTGGTAGTTCTCAGACAGGTTTGAGAGGTCATTTGGGTGACCTGGAGTTCTTGAGGATCTATGGTATTCAATCACAATATAAATATTCCTAAATCTACATGCTGCTTATATTCAGTTAAATTGTTCATTGGGTATATTTTCTATTTGGTATATATATTTAATTGACCCACAAACAAACAACAAGGTATTTACTGAGACTGATAATATTAGGGAATGCTGGCATCAATAACTGATAGGCAATTGTGACTGCGTATTGATTATGGATCAGAGTACAGCTAACGTTTCAAGGCAGTGGGAAACGCTGGCGGAGCGAAATCCCACTCCCTTCCCTCTGTCGCGGCTTCTCTTTTTTTCTTGTTCGTTTCACTCTTTTATTCATGTCTTATATTAATATAATCTCAAATTATTTTCCCCTTGCATGACCAGTTGGACTCAAATCTTAAAAGCATCCAATCCAATTTAATTTTAGGAGATCAAGTCAAGCTAAGCATTGAATTATGAAATACATTATAATAATGCATATAAAAGAATGGTGGCGTCATTTGACCTCAAATAACCATCAGGGTATATTTGTGTATGATGTTACACGGCTATATGAATTGCTCACAATTGCTTCTATAGAATCAGTCTTTATTTGGCATTAGGCCTCACAGATATATAGTTTCAAAGCATCCTTCAGTGTTCCTGAATTATTAATAAGTGTGGTTATATGAGGAATAAATGTCCAGTGTCAGATGTAATGTCACTAACTTTGATGAAATTGCAGGTTGACAGAAGTGCTTTAGCTGCAGGTTTAATATTGTGATTGTTGAGAAACTGAAGAGAATAGAGTGAGGATAATTAAAGTGTTATCAGGGCATCTGAATTGATCATAACAAGCAAAAAAGCACAAAGAAGCCTTCGATGAGGAAGTGAAAAATAGATATTTCCGGGGGCAAATCACGTCACGTCCATCTGAGGCTGAGACTAGAGTGCAGGCGTTTACATTTTTTATCATCCCCCCTTTGGCTACAGAGGGACGGACGCAGAGGCAGACTGGCGTTTCCCTAAAACTCATCCGACAGCGTGTTGAGCTAACTCAAACTGAACTGACTGAATCCAGAATGGCTCTCTGTGAAACAGGCGGGATGAGGGAATTGTTAAGTTCTAAATTCTTATCTTAATTCTTAAAATGAACGATGAGCAGGGAGAAGAAAAAACAATTGTTTTATATATAAAGACATAGTGAAAAACAACGCTTCTTAAATTCAATATGAATGAATATTCATATACAGTATATTTTAACTTTGAACGTGCAAATTAATTTTTGAAGGTGATGTATTTCCAGTTTTCCTGAATTAAGAAAGAGAGTTTTTGTTATTTACTAAATGTAAAGAACCTAGTTTAACCTTAAAATACCATTCCAACAGTTTTCAAAATGTTCAGGTTAGTCTGAATTGTCTCAAATAAGAAATAATGGTTGTAATTATTTGAAATGTAAAGCAAATGTATTTATGGTATTTCAACTGAAAATCCACTTAGCTTAGCCATTTTACTTTGAGTTATGAATGAATGTTGTTTCAGTTTCTCCATTTAAAATCCAAAGTGCATCATTTAAAGTCGTTTATTTTAAGGGACACAAATGCATTGAAAAAGGGATTCATAAAATAACAATTTCAGAAAAGCATGGTTTAGGACATGTCTTTTTTAATTGGGCATATTGTATTCGGTTCAATGACAGTTCTCTGTCATATAACCGTTTCTCCATATAATCACAACAGGAAACATTTTTAAATAAGCTGATCCAAATCAAATCCACAGACGTAATACTTACTTCATTAAAATGTTGCACCCACTTCTATGTGAGTTGAAAATATCATCCTAATTGGGACACAATATCTAAAACAAACGTAATCCTAAAACAACATAAATACACCTTCGAATTATCTTCCAAAATAAAACGGACTGAAAGATTAGAAAAAAAAGAATGTTGGTCAAAAACAACACCAAATATAACCTCGTTTTTTTAACATGGAGTTTGATGTAGGACTTAGATCGCCTACTGCCCCCTGCTGTCTATATCCGGCACTGACAGCCTGCAGCAGATGCACTTGTTTTGCATAGTTATAATCAAGCGACGGCATGTAGTATTTCTAAGTGGAAATCTTTAAGGATGGACTAGGGTAAAATATATTTTACGTTTTAAATATGTGGATTAACATAGGGGGACATTTGGAAAACCTTTTTTGACATAATTTTGAAATGGTATTCAATCTAACTGAATTATTTTAATGCGGCTCAATCTTTCCTTTCCATGTCCATTGTGTGCGTACCTTTACCCAGATCTTAGACATGTCCCTGAATCCAAATATAATATACATATTGAGCACATAGTGAATTCATTCTCCGCAAAAGAGGAAGTACGACTCTTCTCCCCCTCTCCGTTTCCCATAAACCCCGCCTCCTCTTGGACGGACATAACTCTGATTGGTCAATCCCTTTCCGCGGCGACCCCCCTCATTGGCTGAGAGCTTCTGGAGCGCAGATGAGATGCAAATCGCGAGGTCTGCCAGTAAAAGCCCTGCGCTGTCAGCCGGGATGTCCATTCATCTCAAGGGGGAGGGAGAGAGAGCGCAGCTTCCTAGTAACACTGCATCAGTGTAATGTTACAATCAGGAGGAAACGACATATAGAGGAAAATTACTTCACATTTACCTTCTTTTTTTCGTGTTTTCGTCAGTTTCCTTCCACGTTTGATGCCAAACATGTGTGATTTTAAGCTGCAAGAAGATGTTCCAGCTGTCATCCCAAGTCTCGAGTCTTGAATTCTCCGTCCAGGTTTTTGGAAAGCTGCTTTCTGCTTGGTTCTGTCCGCGACTTTTACGCACAACGGCTGAAATCCGGCGCATTTGGATAAAGCGCCTTAACTGGAGCATTTTTACCGTCGTGACACGCTCTTAAAAAAATATACATACAATATTCTGCTTCTTATTCTCCAAACAAGACGAAAATCGGGGGGTTTACAGTGAAGCAATCTGGGTATACCTGGACGCACCGTGGCGCACAAATGGTGTTCCTGTGGGACGCGAAATACGGTACAACTATTTATCTACGATCTGTTTGTTATGCTTTATAGTACGTGTCTTTGCACACACACCTAATATACCTAAGTTATTTTGTGTGAAGTTGGGAGCTTAGTCTCTCTTATCTTGTTACTTGTGAAACTTACCATTTCATTTAAAGCATGGTGCATTATAAAAAAAATATTTTAAAAACTCGTTCCTATCGTAGGTTAATATCATATTAACTCATACAAAACATTTGTGTTTTTGTATTTCTGAGGATATCAGCCGAGGGTGCATGTGGACTCATTTAAAGACTCATATTATACACAAAACAAAACTGGTTTTCAAACATTTAAAAAATAATTTAGTGTCCATATGATTTACAAAAGTCATTCATTTTTTCTTTTCTTTTTTCCCTACTTTCAAGACAATGTACAGTTCAACAAAATGTGAGATATGATCCAACTTCACTTCATTATTTGCTGCAGTAAACAACATCTCCTTCCACGACACATGCTGACTTTAAAACAAATCGTTTTAATTGTCACATTTTGTCCAGAAAAGCGCACAAATAACTCTGGATCTCCACATTATTAATGCAACTTTTTAGAACTGAACTCTAATACTTTACAGTGAATTTAAAGTTGTTGTTTTTTAAATCCAACACACAGACTTCACTAACACACATCGTATTGTATGTGAGGCTCTCTCTTCATTATCTGACATGCTCTGAAATTGACCATTTGTTTTTGATGGCATACCACTTCCCTCACTTTTATTCTTTTATAAGAGAGGGCAGAAGTGCTGCTTCTGTCTTCAGTTTATGACTCCACTCTGTGGTATTCAGTCAGTGTGACCACAGTGTGTGTCATCATGTGCTGTAAATGTGTGTGTGTGTGTGTGTGTGTGTGTGTGTGTGTGTGTGTGTGTGTGTGTGTGTGTGTGTGTGTGTGTGTGTGTGTGTGTGTGTGTGTGTGTGTGTAACTGTGTATCTGTTCCATTAGTGTTTATATATCACAGTTCTCACTGATATGGCTGAAACTATTTTTCTTTTCTCCATGGCTCTTTGAAGGACATATAAGACTGAGCGATATTGCGCTTTCAGATATCTTGTGTTGTCTAACCAATAGTCCGAAACTCAAAGAAAATACATGTACGATTATAGAAGACTGAGAAAAAGTTTTTATTATTATTAAAATAAAAATTATTACTGTACAGTATTTATTCTACTATACATTATTTATTTTACATTCTGTTTTATCTGTTTTTTTATTTCATTTTATTCTAGGTTATATTTTTAGAATTACTTTATTGATCCTAATTTGGGAGTAAGGCATTTCACCTGGAATACAAATTAAATAAATGAGAGAATAAACAGAAACAGTAAATATGTACAGGGAAAAATATATATCCGTAGAGTATATCTATTGAATACACCGTATAAATATACAGTATTGAATTAAGTATGCACTATAACAGACCACATATCTTATATACGTATACATATTTATTATTCCTGGAATTCCTGTACATTACATAATTGGAGGATTCTGTGACCTATTGCAACAACAAATACTGCTATTGTGCATATTATAATAAATCCTTAGAATATTTGAGAGGACTATGAAGTCTCCTTCTCAGATATTTAAATCTTTTTATTCAACCAGCGATCATCATGGAGACATTAAGAGCAGAATAACCAACTCATGTGTTCTGTTTCAGACCCAGCCCCCGGCCGGCGTTACACCCCCCCCTCCACCACCCTCGCCTCGGGGGGGAAGATGGCTGAGGCCCTGCCCCTGGGCGCCCAGGAGGCCGGAGGCGGGGCCTCTCTGATGGGCAAACTGCGCATGGCTGACCGAGGCATGGTGGAGGTACGCTGACACACACTCCTTATTAATATCTGTTGTAGTGATGTAAATGTCCCTCACGGCTCTCCGTTGTGCTCTCAGGTGATCTCAGATCATCCGGGGGAACTGGTGAAGACGGACAGCCCTAACTTCCTGTGCTCCGTGCTGCCTACACACTGGAGGTGCAACAAGACCCTGCCCATCGCTTTCAAGGTGGGTACCTCCACCCAATCCACTGCTGCATCCAACAGTACCCTTAACCTATTAGGTATGATAAAACATATCGATTTGTTAGAGATTAAACTGCCACACAGTAAACATTAGATTAGATGTCATTTATTGATCCCAATTTTATGTGATTATTATAATTATTTGTTACAGCAGCATGTAAACAAGGCATTGCAAATTAATACAAAATAAAATATGATGGAAAATCAACATACAGTAAAGACAACAGTAAACATATACATATCATCACCAGAGCAATATATCACAATCGCATACACAATATAAAATATAAACATACAGAATAAGAGACCGTTAGGTTGCTAAGTTAGTTGCATTCCTCGATAAAAAGTAATATTTTAAATAGTTTATTCACTTAAAAGTAGGAAAATCTTTCCATACAGTTATTTTCGTTTTATAATATATTACATTATTACAATTGCGACTGTGGCTGTGAGGGAGTGTGGTCGTCTTTCAACCAGAAGGTTGTGGGTTCGATCCCAGCCCATGCAGTCAACATGTCGATGTATCCTTGGGCAAGATACTTAACCCTGAGTTGCTCCCGATGGCATGGCCAACGGTGTGTGAATGTGTGTGAATGTTA